AGTTTTCAATGAAGTCAAAATAAACAAATTTGAATGAGCTTCTCACGGATAATTTGTTATGGGGGAGAGTTTAGTTCCGCGGACGCCGACGTGGGGCTTTGAGAGGCACCAGTTGGGGCGGTCTGGTGAAGGGAGGTGACATCAAGTGGAGTGTTTTGACGGGTTGACGTCGGCTGTAGCAGTTAATATCGACGGAGAGGAGCAGTGGGACGTGCAGCTGCTGAGCGAAAACTGTGTGTAGATAGTTTGGCAAGTCACTGGACCTCAGGCGTTGAATGTGGACATCGGATTTCAATGACTCGGTAGGTTGACGGAGTTATAAAGCTCAGAGCACCACAGACTGGAAAGTTCGACGGGAGGTGTGGCGCAGACTTCAGCAAACGTGTAATGGCAAGCAGAACAATCGCAAGAGCAGTCGTTTAAAGTGGGGACGAGTGTGATGTGTTCTAATTATGTCGACAGACAAAAGTATTGTGTAAGACAGATCAGAAGCAGTGTATAGCAGCATAAGGCTATGAAGCTTGACTTGAAGAGAACAGAATGTGAAGTTTACCTCCCATCTATATTTTACAGTTAACTTTTTTGGTTAGCCCAATTTTTCTTAACATTATCCAATAAGGCGTTTGATTCAAATAAAATAATTGAGCTTTCCAGATTGTTTTCCTAACTATTCCTATTGTAATAAACGATAACATCAGTGGGTACAACCAATGGTATTTGACACAAGACTACAGAATATCCAAGTAAAATCTGAGAACGGTCAAGTAAATACTTCATTTACAAAATGTCAATCAATCGTCTCAGACTTGACTGTTACTTCGTTTCCACACCAATCACTCTCTACTTTGATTCTTTATTCTTTGATCTTCTTAACCTTCTGTCACCAGACATTTCGCTTCCGATGAATGACACATACTACTTATATCTATCGATATCAGTAGCACACAACAGAATATCATTTATTTTCAACTTTATAAACTTATAGATTAGAAGCACTTTCATGTCTATACCAAATGAATTAGTTGAATACATGTCAACTATGTAACCAAAAATCGTTTGTTCTGTTTATCCTTTTTATGAATTATAAGTTTTAGTTGTGTTTTTTAAAATATTAATTCGGTAATCTACTCTCATAACAAATAGTTATTTTTATCAACATTAATACTTCCTTAATTTGTAATCTGACTTTTCTTTGTCGATTTTCCATGTGACATTTAACTATGAAAACGTAAAATGAAACCAAATTTACATTAAACAATTGGTTTCGCAATTCAAAATATGCGAAATAAGATTACTAAATGATCATTATTACTATTATTATTATTATTATTACTATAGTAACATATAACGTAATAAAGTCACAAGTGTACAATATGTATTAAATGTCGCGTAATCTAAATTTAGAAAATAAATAATCGGTTTATTGAAATCTGAACAAGAGAGGTGAGGACAATGATTTAGATAAAATTCCTTTTTTTCTTTTCTTTCTGTTAAAGTATGAATTAATAAAGTAATATTTATTTCAGAATGGGGATTTGTAATAGTTGTATTCATGAGTCGACTCATGAATCCCCTACTGCCATAATAATCATGTGCTCATTAGTGTTTAGTATCAAGATGAAGTTCTAGTAAGAAACCGTGAAAAGTGCTGTCTAATCCATTTTGGGTGTGAGACAGTTATCCAACACAAACAATGAGTGTAGGGTTGTGCAAGATCATAGATTGATTGAAGTTACACACTAACACCATTGGATGCTGGCTCAGTGGTCTATAGGTTAAGCATTGATGCGCGTGATCGAAGGTCCTGAGTTCGAGTCCCGCATGTAGAGTTATGAATGAGCAATGCTGATTAGTCTCATACTATGATGAAAAGTTTGTTCAATGCTTTACAGTTTTCAATTGTGGTGTAGCTTAGAACGACTCATGAATTTAATTATTAGTGTATATATGTATAATTTTAGAGAAACTACTGATTGTCAGAAAGCTAATATTTTTTAATTGGTCTTGCCAAGTTTTTTAAAAGTATTGAAATATCTAATCGCAGATTGAAAGATAGCTTCTTATTATTTCATAACTATATCAACTTCGGGTGTGAATACATTTTTAATGAGTTACCATTTGATTAGTTATGGCGGCCTGCTTGAATATCTGGACTACCTGTTCCACCGATCTAGATATTTCATCAAGTTATCTGTTTTCTTGTTTGTTTTAGCACATCATTATGTCTATTGTGTGCACAATTTATTCAGGCGCGTTTATGAAAAGTTTACAAACTTTCGCTATACGCGTTACAAAAAGGTACGATCAGCGACATCATGGTGGCTGGCAATATTCATTGAAGCGAATGAACAGTAATCAAATGTGGATTACCGAACTCCTGACATGTAACTGGTCATCATTCAAAATTTATCGTCACAATCGATCGAGATATAAGAAAAGGAAACTTGTTGAAATACTTTATGCTGAGAATTCTATGTTGTACCAAAAATATAATGTTGAATAAATAATAATAATAATAAAAAATGAAATAACTTTAGTTACTAAAGTTTCAACTATCAGCTCCATGTTTAGTACATTATTTAAATTCACCGATGATACTTTAAGTATATTCACATACGACACTTCATAGAATTCTTAATCGTATACTAACAGAAAAATGCACTTTCGTTCTAACTTAATGTGAAGTAATGATTCACTAAAGAAATTTGGTAGAGACATTCACTTGTAATGCACAAGTGGTAACAGTTTAAATAAATGACATAATTATTAGTCCAAACTGTCATGAAAAGACTTAATTATTTACCAGTGATATGTAAATTGTATGGCGCATTATTTGTTAACCATCGAAAAAACATAATTGCATCACGAGAATAGTGATAATAATTAAAAGAATGTTTTGGTATTTCAATCGACTTATACAAACAAATATTTTAGTCACATTACACGTATTACAAAATAACTTCAAAGAAACTTGGCATTTTACTGACGTAAGTTCAAACAAAAAAATACTCTTTTATAGAGATCACGAGCACGAAATAATCACAATAAACGGAATTGTATTGATAGTCAATCTGTTGTTACTAAGAGTTAATTTCGGGAAGTAATTCCTTGAGTTTTGTTATGAAGCTATGATCAGTGCAATTTAAAAGTGTCTGATAAGAATCAAATACTCACCGAATAACATAGAGGATGGTTTTGAAATGTTAGGAATCAATTGAAGTTCAACATTTAAACCGTTAGATGGCTTCTCCACGGGAATTAATGATCATGTATTCTACCACCTATGGAGGAGTTGTGAACATACGCTTATTTAAAGCCAGATTTCTAAACGAAAAAACCGTCTAATTCAATATTTTTCTAAGATAGGTTTATTATCTCAATTGTGTTCAACAATTTCCACAAACTTTATTTTAAACTAAGACATATCATTTAAATGTGGTTTAGTGTACTCCTTCACTTTCATCATCATCTAATGATTATGTCATCTAATATATTCACATAAATCATATCAATATCACTTATAAATTAATCTCAGAAGGGCTGTTTTTGTTGATATTATAGTTAGTTTAATAGTTGAGATCATGAGTCAATTGAAGATAGATCACAGTGAAAAACCTGTTTATATTAAACAGCCGTTTCGTCTTAGTATGCGAATTCACAGAAGTGTGCATTCACCATTGTTACTCACCAGATTCGAACCAAGGACCTACCACTAGACCACTGAGCTGTCCGACATTCAACGTTGTTAATGTCTAATCTCAACCAATCCATGAAATTTAGCCACAAATCCACCATTGTCATCAGTGAGTTACTATCTCATAACAGACCTGGTTCAACTCCACTGTTCACCGTTTCTCATTAAGAACTCTATAAAATACCTCTTGAAGCCAATCACTAGTAAGCATATATTAATTAATAACAGAACGGGTTTATTTGTTTATATTATAATAATTTCAATAGTTGAGATCATGAGTCGATTGAATTTAGACCATCATGGAAAACCTGGAAAAATTGGATGACCATTTCATACTGATATAAAACTCCTTAGCAAATATTCCGTGATGAACTATCTTCAATTGACTCATGATCTTTACCATAAATTAATCACTCAATTTGTTTCAAAAAACATGAACAATTCATGTTACATCAAGTATAATATATTTAATCAATACTTTAGTAAATATCATTCAATCTGTTTCTTGTTTCATGTCATAACTTCTGAACCTGTGTGCCCGGGTTATTGTATGATGCAACGATACGATCAATCAGAGAGCAGCGAATTACCGATCGAACGAGTGACGCACAAAACACGTACGAGCAACCTAGAGTCCTGATGGGTCCTACTTCCTGTCTAACCCAGTCAGTTAAGTCCAGAACACTAATCTATCTCTGCAATATAAATCATTTATTTCAAGCATACTCGGTTTATATACCAATCAAACAGACCACAATGTACCAGAAAATATGAAACAACATTTGTTAAATATTTAGCCAAAAGTGACTGTGAATGAGAGAGGTAGTGATTAACAGACAGGGAATAATTCAAGAATAATTACTCATATAATAATAGTTCATAAGTCAAAATAAAACTCATAATAAGAGGGACATGAATAATGAACAGTTTAGTTACATAACAATTATACGATAAAAATATAATCATGGTATTGGTTCATAAATAGATCCCAAAACTTACCATTCATTATTCTTATCGGGCTATATCATTTCCACTCAATTCTTATTGGTTCATTCAATGAACAACCAATCAGATTTCAATTAGATAAAAAAAATACAAAAAAAATTATTCAAATAAATAAAGATAATATTTCTGTATCCTTAAATAAATAATTCACAATTTAATAAAAAAAACATTTCTAATAAATTAATATCAAATTAATAATTAAATATAATAAATGAATTAAATTATTTTATAATTATGAAATAACTAAATAATTAATTAACTCAATTCAATTGTATTATAAAAGAAAACAAAAAAATATTCAATGAACAATAGTATTGAATTGAATTTAAATTTTATTGAATTCATCAATAATCAAACATGTTTATTATTTATAAAAACATTTTATGATTTACCATCAACATATCAAATGAATTCAAATATTTATTCCATTATAAAATCATTACATTATTATGATCATTATTATGATTTATTACAATGGAATATTATCATACCAATTATTATTGTAATATTAACAATTATTGGTAATTCATTAGCATGTTTTATAGCATTTAATGATAGACATTTAAGGCATAAATCAAATATATTTTTTATATCATTATCTATTACAAATATTATATATTCTAGTATAATTATGTTATTTAATATTATTTATAATCTTATTCATCCTCTATATTTTAATGATTTAATTATTAAATTATTTTTTTCATTAGATAAATTATTTTGTACAGTCACTATATTACATTTAGTTGTTATGGCATTTGATCGTTTTATTTATATTAAATCACCATTAAATTATTCACGTTGTATAAAATTAAAATATTTATTAATTATATTAATAAGTTTATGGTTTTTAGCCTTTTTAATCACAATTATCCCAATTCAATTAAATTGGAATCATATGAATGATAAACAATTTATAACAATCAATAATAATAATAATAATGTAATCAATACATATGATACAAATCAAAATTATACAATTGAATCATCAATTCATGAAATTCCATTCAAACAAATCAATTTATTATCGATTTATAAAATACAAAAAAATTTTATATGTATTCATAAAGTTAATCTATTTTATACAATAACCAATACAATATTTAGTTTTATTATCCCATTATTGATTATGATAATGATATATACATATTTATTTTTAGTAACAAAACAACATATTAATCGATTAAATATATTTTCAAATTTTAAAAAAAATTATTCAAATCATTTAAATTTAAATCATCATCATCATAATAAACAATTTATTGATTTATTACATAATTCATCAAATTTTTTAAAAAAATGTAAAACATTTTTAAATTTAAATTCTATTGATTTCAATGATCATACTATCAATAAATCAATAACAATCTCAATGAATCCATTAAAAATTCCAACACAATTAAATAATAATAATAGACAATTCAATGATTCATTACATTATATGAATATAACAAATAAAAATGATTTAATAATAAATACAATCAATAAATCAATACAATTTACAAATCATCATTCATATATAACTATAGATCAATCAATGAATACAAGGCGTAAACATAGTTTACCATTATATAATATATCAAGGAATTCATCATGGAATACATATAATAATAATAATAATAATAATGGGAATGATATAACACGTCAACAAATAATAATAAATTATCCAGAAAAACAAATATATAATGCACATAAAGCAGCAATTACATTAGGTGTAATATTAGGTTCATTTACAATATGTTGGTTACCATATTTTACAATTAATTGTATAGCATCATTTTGTGATTGTATACCAAGTAAGTATAGTTTGATATTCGTAATTATTATTTATATTATTGTTGTTGTGACAATAAATTATATAATTTATTTTGATTCATGATCTCAACTATTGAAATAAACTCCTTCTGATATTAATTAATATATGCTTACTAGTGATTGGCTTCAAGAGGTATTTTATAGAGTTCTTAGTGAGAAACAGTGAATAGTGGAGTTCAACCGGGTCTGTTGTGAGGTAGTAACTCACTGATGACAATGGTGGATTTGTGGCTAAATTTCGTGCATTAGTTGAGATTAGACATTAACAACGTTGGATGCCAGACAGCTCAGTGGTCTAGTGGTAGGTGCTTGGTTCGAATCTGGTGAGTCGCAATGGTGAATGCGCACTTCTGTGAAGTCTCATACTAAGACGAAACGGCTGTTTAATATAAACAGTTTTTTCACTGTGATCTATCTTCAATTGACTCATGATCTCAACTATTAAACTAACTATAATATCAACAAGAACACGCCTTCTGAGATTAATTTATAAGTGATATTGATATGATTTATGTGAATGTATTAGATGACATAATCATTAGATGATGATGATGAAAGTGAAGGAATACATTAAACCAAATTTAAATGATAAGTCTTAGTTTAAAATAAACAGTTCCAGAAAACTCCTTCTCATAACAATATCTTTTCTATTATTTATTAAAATCTTTTCATTGATGTTTAGGACTACAATTGGTATATGGATATCCTGCGAGGATAGCCTTGATATTGTTTTAAGTTACAAACATTTTAAGCAAAGCGACTGATTGCAGTTTTAAATATCAATGGAAATTCTCAAACAAATAATGTTATTGACATATGTGCAAACTGTGCGTATTGTCTTGATATTGTCTTAATTCACAAGCATTGTAAGCAAAGAGAGATAGTGGCTCGTTATGGAATCCAGGACTCATCAATCTGATGTACCTATATCTCAGACTGACCAATTACATTTTTAAGCAATACCAACTGAATTTAAACTTCAATCCATTGTACAAGCTAGTGACTATCAGGACTCAATAGCTAAGTGGATAACGTAATGATGTTTGAAGCGAATGCTATTGGGTTTAAGTTTCAGAGTCAACATCAAATCTGAAATGCAGCTATATTCAGCTGACCAGTCTTGAGAAGGTCGAAACATGCGTCCTGGATATCACTGCTAGTCATCATTCATTTTTGCTTATAATTACATGATTATTGTATACTTCATCCTTGTAACAATTAAATAATAATTTTTCGCTAATAACTTAATTATGAATTCTATGTCATTAGATGCTAATTGTATTACAAAAAAATGATTCACCAATTTTAAATTGTTGAGTAGTGTACCTAAAAATAAGAAAACTTTCAAATGATTTGGTCTATTATTAGTAACTATAAGCATGATGGTTTCAAGCCAAATAAGCAAGAGAAAACTTGAAATATTTCATATTGGTCGTCATATATTTCTTTTGCATACTCCTAACATGATTTTGCGAAAACGTTCGGATTAGTATAAATTATGCAATCAGTAACTTTTAACTATTAATTTGTTTGAAAAGGTATAGAAAAATTAAATTGATTTAGTGATTAGAGTATTTCAATTTCACTCTGTCACTAAAAGAACCCCACCCGGGGTCCCTACGGGGGCTACTGCCGGTCTCAAGCCCGGACAAAGGAGGAGGATTGGGCATGGGGTTAGCGACCCCATCCCGTAGAAAACTAACTCGCTAAAAAAACGCTAACTAAAAGTAAGGACAGCAAATAAAGAGATACGCTATATATATTTCTTTGATGATTTTCATCTTGATTATTACCCTAAAGCTCTGATAAGTTAACTGGACGAAACGTTCAAATTATTTAAATTTTAATCACTAAGATTATTTCAGAACACAATTTTCACTTTTCTATAATCGATGCCCAATTTTCGTCAAATTATTCTTTCTAATATTGACGAATATTCATATAAATAGATATAGAATTGTGAAGTAAACTTAGGATACACTTTGTTATTACTAAACATACCAAGTTTGACAAAATATTTAAACATAATGAAACTTTAACAAAAAGAAATGACAATCTAATTTCAATGAACCTGTCACCTATTATATTGAGCTAGTATATTCTTATGTTTGTTAATAATTATACTGTAATTCAAATGAATTTGATAGATCATAATCTAATGTGATGAACTTCTCCGTTTACCAATTATTTTTTAACAAATACTAATAATTAGTGACTTTGTAATTAAATGATGGGTCATACTTATTATGGATGAAGAGCTCAGATGGAGATAACCAATTTATTGTTTAATGTGAAATTATTCAGTGTTTTCGCAAAATATGGAAAGCATACACTAAATATGTCATTTGTACACCTTCCATCAGTTGTCTCTTGGAAACTCCGTCGTTCCTCCATTATTATTACAATTACTCTCTGTTTACATTCCTTTTATCTTCAATTCGATCTTCTCAATCTTCTGCTGCCGTGCATTCAACTTCTGATTAGTGTTACATACTACTTATATCTGTGAACATACGAAGCATGCATCATACATATATAATGACTATGGTAATTAGTTAGTTAATAATTTAATTCGCAAGCTTTTTTCATCATAGACTGATACGAATTTGAGAACCATTGTAAACTTGCTGCAATTAAATAACTTATTAGTTCTGCATTTGTTCTAGAATCTAATGTTCCAACGGTTAGATAAGAGCATCAATGTTCTTGAAATTACAGGTTTACTTCACTAACAAGTGATAAGTAGCACGAAAACTCTGTCCAAAGTTTCCTGTCAATAACTTATCGGTTTAATATCAATTTAATGAAAAATAAATAAATCAAGCTTCTTTGAATTAGTCACTTCAACTTTCTTTATGAATAGATATAGAATGGATTATTTGATATAACACAATAGTTTGATTTTATGTATACTATCAATAAACTGAAAAATGATAGGGGTTTATAAATATAGAATGAATTTTCCATAGGAAATTTTATAATAACTCCTTAAATATATTTAATAATGTTTTTGATTGAGATCATGAACCATTGAAAACCAGAATCCTTTGAGTAGGATCGTGGATGTGCACTGTTGACAACTTCTACAATAAAATGAAATAACCATTCAGTACTTCTAGATGTTCAATAATGATCGAACATCAATCGGTTCGTGATGTTAATCCAAAAAACTTTATAATCTCTATAACTCAATACTGATAATCATGTTTATTTGATTTTTTTAAATCGTTAATTTCAATTATAACTATTCATTATCAGTTTAGGGATTGTGAAGATTGTTAAGTTTTTTGGTTGAGATCATGAACCAACTGATGTTAGGTTAAGCGTTCGTGCGCAAGACTGAAGGTCCTGGATTTGAATTTTGCCAGGCAGGATCGTGGATACGCACTGCTGAGGAGTCTCACAATAGGACGAAACGGCCATCCAGTGCTTGCAGGTTTTCAATGGTGGTCTAACATCAATCGTTTCATGATCTCAATCAAAAAAATTAATATTCATTCTTTATTTGTTCATGATAAATTCAAAAATATGTTTATTGGTATTTATTTACTTTTCACTTTATATGATCCGATAAATATTCACTTCTGTTTACTGTTTATATGATAAATGATAGTAGTAAGAAACGACAAACAAACAATAAATCGATATGAAATGAAATTTATGAAGAAGAACAAAAAGAAGAAAAAGAAGAAAAGTGACTTGAACACTCTGTTGAATCGAGTGAACAAAATAATTGATCTTATTCTAAATGGTTATGTAATAAAAATTAATCAATATTGAATGAAGATCTATTTAATTTAATATTTAAGATTGTTTATTCATCTGTTGTAATTAGGTAGTAAAAGATGAATTAGATTAGAATTTTCCATACTATTAATAAGAATCAAATGTTGGAATAATGGTTTTACTTGTTGTTTTCTGAACAGTTTATTGAGATTACGTTTACATGAGTAGATAACTGTTATAAATTTATGTGACAGTCGGTCAGTTAGTCAGCAACAACATAGAACTTTGTACGTACGTACATCAGTTCGAGTTGCCACACCCCATTAGCATAGAGATGCAGTGGTCGATTCAAATCCCGTAGTGGTAGAGGTAGTAAAATTATAAGCAGTAATCAGAAAGATTAGTGTTTGAAGACGTTATTCCAGCATTATAATCCAGTGAAATAAATTTGGAAAGAGGAAAAAAAGGATATGAAGAATTCAGAAGATTAGAATTTGGGAGAACACAAAGAGTGGATGCACCTGTACCATTGCAAACGATTTTGAGCCATCTCATTCAAGGTCTCTAACCATCGTTTTCTATAGTTTCGTGTGACAGACCTTCTAAGATTTACGGTGGAGTGAAACACAATTGTTTGTACTTCACAGATGTTGCACTAATTACTTGAACTTATAAGAAATAATTTTTTACATTTAATATACAAATGATGATTCATATTGGTCACAGATTGTACTGGAATAAAATGAGATCTAATAAACTATTGTATCTTATTAATTAATAGAAATATTCAAGTATTTATTACGTCTGTAGAGTTTTGTAAATTGTCATTTAACCACTTTTTTGTTATTATATTATATTGTATTTATATATCACATATTGGAAAAAAACACAAGTACTTATATCACACTTTTTAAATGGTGTTAACTTATAGACAGAGATGAATAGTGGCTAGCAATAAAATACGTAAGGCATGTTTCGTCCTATTTCAGACTCATCAGTTAGACTAACTTGAATCCAAGAGTTGGTGTGTACAATCCGGTACTTAAACCTAGTATGGCTTGCTTCAAACGTTTATTTATTTTGTTGTAACTGGTTTAATATTCAGTTTTTAACAAAATATTTTAAAGATTTTTATTCATTGAAATTTTATTATATTTTCCGTTAAAATTTAGTTGTCATTCAATAGTTTTATTTGTACCTATGTAATACTCTAGTTTGTCTCAATAAAGAGGAATTGTACTGAGAAAAAATAATT